TTTAGACTATAGCTCATATTGTCAAAAATGTAGGAACGACCAAGCGTTGTTTTGCTAGTTTGTGGCTTCCATGTGGTTCTGTAGAAGCGGCTGTCTATATTACGCTTGATGTTGGAACGTTGAAGTAATCTGCTGCATCTCCTTGAAGGGGCGAGTAACAGTACGGACCAAAGCACATGTGGCTGTGGCTCAAGAGCGGGCACTTGCTTTTGGGATATGGGCCTCATCCCCGTTCGCAGTTGATTGATCAAGAGTCTGCAGTGGAGGGTAAAGTCGTTGGGACTCAGGGTGCTCTGAGCTGTGTATGATGTCTACGAATCTCAAAAATGTTTAGATATGTGTATTGTCTGTGCTTGTGCACGCAGTAACTGAGGTTGTGGCTAGCATTGCCTGTCAGATCGCTCAGTTAACAATGTTCATCTGAAACGCACTGTACCGGGGTAACTTCACCATGGCGTTGACCCTGTAATGATGATGTGTAGCGTTCTCTTTCATAGATACACTGTGCACTTGCCGAAGGCCCGAAGGCAGGCACTCCTTTCTGACACGCAGCCAGCCCCAAAACATAAACCTGAAATCCCTAACCCCGTACCCTGAGCCCTTGCTTCAAAACCTTACGCCTGCATCCTTGAACGCTAACTCCTGCACTGTGCCTAGGCTGCCAGCAGAAGGGCAGAAGGGGCAGGTTGCTGTGTGCGACCTTCGCTCAGGCAGAATTTGGTCCATTTACTTGAGAGTTGTTGCCAATGGGGTTTCCCCAAGGCTCCCAAATAGCCCAGTGTAGGTGGCGTACCTAGCGCTTGAGTCACAGTGGTCGCTGGTTGAGTTTTCTGTTCCCTACATGTGAGAGATCCTGTTTTGATGAACGTGCATAACCTAGTTTCCCGGACCGCAATATAGTATATAGAGGAGTATATAGGTGGTTTTTAGGGAGATACCAGGAGTTTAGACTATAGTTCACATAGACACCAGAGGTTGACGTTCACATGAACCTGTTATCTGCATGGTAGGCTTTCGAGCCCTTGTCCAAACAGTCTCATGTTTGCTTTAGGGAGGATATCATGAGGGATGGCTGGCGGGTTGCTTTACGTCGGCCTACACATTAGCGAAATCATGCCCTGACGACTGCTGCGACTGCTGCTGCTGCTGCTGCTGCTGCTGCTGCTGCTGCTGCTGCTATTTCTGTTAGAGCTGTGCGGCACTGGACGCCATTTGGGAGTTTCTTAAAACGGTGTCGTTGGGGACTCTGGGGGTTTATGGGGGTTGTAAGGGGGTTTACTTGTACTGAGGTTCTGTCTGAAAAGCTGTCGTGTTATGTTTGTATGCACGCTGAGAGACATATCAGCCATCCAACCTTTCTCTTCCTGTGCACATGCCTGCCATCCAAACGGTCAGACCTTGTCACGCTCCTAATGGCGAAGGAGCGCCTGTTCACTGCACAATCAAACCCATCCTTAAGCCATGAAACCTATTAAACCCTAAACATGCTGCACCCCCCAAAACACTGTATTCCTTGTTCTAGGGACCGGAAAAGGTGCCCTTAATTTTGGGGAACCCCCCCCCCCACATTGATTCTCTAAGCGCTTTGTTAGTTGTCTTTTCAGCTGCTTGTTGCCTCGAGCTAGGGTCTAGGGTTTAGGATGTGGGGTTCTGGGCCGGTTGGCTGCTTCTGAGAGCAGCGCCCCACTTATGAAATAGCTAGGGGTCTATCTGAGGTTCCAAGTACCTCAACATGGTCTATACCCCCTAAATGCTTGCCTCCCTCTCATACAGTAATGATGCCTAGTACATTCTGACGATTGAAAGCTTTAGTCTTAGCGTAGTTGGCAAACCCACATCTCACATTTGCACGTATATTCAGTGTCCCCTGAAGCGCAGTCAGCGTATGCCATGATATCTCTGCTGAGCCCAACATCCACCCTGTAGCTAAGCCTAAACCCCCAAACCCAGCATCCTAAGCTCTAGACCCTATCAACTCTTCTACTATACAACCGATAGTCCCCCTTAAATAGATAGAATATGGCCGTGGGTATATTATAGTAAGATGCCCATATACCCCATATTCTATCTACTTAAAGGGGACTATGGATCCTGGAGCTTGTGAGTCTTCGTCAGGTCCCAGCGAGCGCCCCAACGTGGCGGAGCACGTACGTGCCCTCGGCTACCTGTCCGCAGAAGCACAACTTTTCGGGACCCTGGGTTTGCGATGTGTGAATCTGCGTATAAAGGGTTGCAATAGGGTTACAATGGGCTTATTAAGGGGATATAGCATATTACCGGGTGACCCAAAGTAAGCTAGGCGTGAAAGCAATCAAGCTGTACCTCCTCATGCTTAGTTGGCCACGGGTACCTTTTGAAGGTCCCTGTCACAGGGCTTGTCCTGTTTGGAATCTAAATTAGGGACCTTTGTTGAGGGGAACTACCATATTGCGCGCGTTATAACCCTTGTACTAGTCCACGTAGCCTCTAAGTAATGCCTGGCTGGGGCCCTATGTGGGCCTTTGTCTTATTGGGTGTGAGTAGAGAAGGAGGGAATAGGATTTATGCGGGGGCTACTGTACGTATCCAGACCTGCATTCCGTTCTAGCGACCAGTAAGCTGTAGCTATTGTGGACAACGAAGAGTAGAGCCTGCCTGCAGTCTCTCTGGGCATAGATACTTCTGTGGGTTTCACGAGCATCCCAGAAAATCCTACAACAGAGACCAAAGATGCGTCTGGACAGCCTGAAATAGTACCGAAGCAGAGGACTTGTAGCATTGCCTGTAATGTTTCTTCCACACTGCAAGCATTGTTTTTAGCAACACTGCAGATGAATACCGTGTCAATGATGATAGATTCCCGACTGTACGACGAGTCGGAATACTTCAACTCATAAAGGGATACTGCAGCCTCAAATATAGTGGGGCCAGAACTTAGCTCGCCAAACCCTAAACCCTACACCAGTGCTACTGTGGCCCATGGTACTTTCCGGCCAACTTCCAGTTCGCTATAATGACAAAGCCCTCAACCCGTGGGATTAGGATTTAGGGTCTAGAGTTCAGGATTTAAGGTTTAGGATTTAGGGTTTAGGGTTTAGGGACACTGAAACATGAAACCCTAAACCCCTACCTGTGACCCCAATTGCCTACAGGTTGGCAGCAATTACCCCTCAATTAACAGGTATAGCTTAGCCCATAGTACTGTAAGGTAGTTCGGTTGCAGGTAACCCTAAATCCTAAATCCTAAACCAAATTTGCCAGTCCCTAGACCCGCGCACCGTCAAAACCCTGAAACGTCCCTAACTAACATGGAAGCCGCGAAGTTGCCAGAGGGTTTAGATTTAGAGTAGCTTCGACGTTTGCTTGAGAGTGGAAATCCTAACCCTCAAGCCCTGAACCCTGAATCCAAAAGCCTGAGCCCTGAATCCTCAAGCGTAAGTCCTAAACCCCAAGCAGTAAATCCCAAACCCTAAGCGGGAAAACCCATACCCTAAGTGATACACCCAAAGCCCTACGTAAGGAATGGCGAATGACTCCAGTGCTGCCTCTCTCACCAGCCTTGCCTCACCCAGGAGTGCCCTTGAGGCCTTCTTTTACTCAGGGGCTTTTGATTAGGGCTTAGGGTTTAGGGCTTTTGGTTAGAATTTAGGTCCTAAACCCCAGGCATTGACGTAAACGTGAGGCCCTACACCCTCAATCCTCGACCCGAAACCTTAAACCCTTGAAAACAAGACCCTAGACTCTAAAAGGGTTTAGATTAGACGGGTTGGCGGGTTTTCTACATGGGGTTTCTGCTTTCTGTGGGGGTGGCCAATAGGGACATATACTTGTGACGGGACACAAGGATAGCAACGGCTTATATGAGCTATAGTCTAAACTCCGTCAACAGGGGTGATATAGGGGACTATGTAGGAGACTATTATGAAGGTTATTAAGGGGATACTAGAAGTTTAGACTGTGGCTCATATGCAGAACAAGACCTGTTTAAGCTTTCAGGTTGCAGAAGTTCAGAGGTTTGAGTGTTGGTCGAGGTTGCAAGTTTTTAGTGTTTTTGTTTCGAGGCCTTTGGTGCTTTAGGGTTTTTAGAGGGTTTGGGGTGTCTGGGGGGTTTAGGGGTTAGGGCTTCACGGTTTCAGGGTTCAGGCTTAGAAGAGACCAACTCTATGCCAATGGTACGGCTTAGAGCTACGCTGTCTTTTTCATGAAGGACAGTAAAATCATGGGTTCCCCTATTGCTCACCCTTCCACTACCATCTAGGTTTCCCCCTAATTGGCCCTCTTTATCCTCGAATTCGCGATTCAGGGGAACCTTGGGGGGCTAGCACGGGGGGAGGGCCGCACAAATCTCAGACCTACATTCCAGAGGCAGCCTGGATTTGCCAGGCCATGGTGACAAAAAGCAGCAGAAGCCAGGCCCCGCGTGCTTGGGTAAGCGTGAGGCGTAGGTCTTGTAGGGTTTCGGCTTTTGCTATACCCTAAACCCTAAGCCCTACACCCTAAACCCTAAACCCTAAACAGTTTGTAGGTGTGAGGGCCTTAGATTGAGATCTTGGGCTTCAGGCTTTAGGGCCATAGGTCTAGGGCTTTGGCTTACTTCCTCAAAGGGAGAATTTGAAGCTTTTTGGTTTGTTTTGTCCATGTAGTAGTTTCCCTAAACAGAGGGACCCCAACATAGACACCAAAATACTATAACCCGAATTATGGGGACCCCCAAGTTGGTACCCCTAATCTTGGGAAACCCCCATGCGGTCTTTAGTGAGCTCTTCGTCGCAGAGCAGCGGACCTTGGACCTGGGACAGATGGTGTAAGCACTGCTGCCAGCAGTATATTGGGATTCCCCAAGTTTAGGGGTACATTTTGGGGTCTATATTTCTCAAGCGGACGGTTCCGGTCTGTAATCCTTTCGAAGC